GTCCAGTTAATTGCCTCTCCTCTCCAATTTACACCTCTCAGTATTTGGCAAGAGTCCTACTTTCCTGCCAGTTTTCCCTTCACTCCTTCATCCCACCTGTAAATTATTTCCTTGTTCTTCCTAACCATCTGACTTCATTAATCCATTTTGGTTTTTATTGCTGAAACTCCATTCTTTTTCTCTAAAAGATTCCTCAGGCTCAATACATTACTATATTCTACTTTGGCTTCTTGCAGACTTCACTGCACCCAATATGATTTCATCAATGCACACATTCACACAGCACCTTTGGAAACAGTGCATTATTTCTCCTGAAGGTTTGTACTGGAGGGAGGGAGCAGGAAGCAGAGATTCTTGCACTGCCACTATGAGATGGAGGTGGATCTCATAGTGGATTTGTGACCTGCTGCCCTTTCTAGGCTGGCCCATTTAAACATTCTCTCCTGTTCCACCTCATAGACCTGGCTTGTAAATCTCCATTAAGCTGCTTTCCGGAGATTTAAGACCTTTCTACTGCCACAGTCTCTTCACTATCCACCTCTAAAATTAAACTTTAATGCTGAGTCTCCAGAGTCTTAATCAGCCTCTTAACACTGGCTGTATACAGAACCAAACTAGTCCAAAATCATGTAATCATTATCCAATATAGTTAAAATAGGCACTTTATGAAGTTATTTCTTCCTGAGCATGAACTGACCAAACCTAGTTCAAGACCACTGCAGATGTCAAGTGTCATACATTAATATGTTGGCAGATACCTGTGGGCAAGGCTACAATTTTCAGTCTTTCAACCTCATTACCTGAGACAGTAAGCAAGGAAAAATCAGCCACAAGTCATGGGAATAGAAAATTCAGCAAAGTATGAGCAAGGAATGGTAAGAAACATGGAGGCCTACACCTATACACTATGACATGCAAAGAGCCAAAATAATTTTTATCTTGACAAAAATTTAGAAAGGAAGAAAAAGTAAGAGATACAGTTCTTTTGGGGCTTGAGCTTTGCTTGTCCATACAGAGGACTCTGATGGCTGGGGGCTGTTTGCCCATGAATGCACATACACTTCATTTGTCTTCCTTATGCCCTTCAAAACCAGTGATGTGGCCTGGGCAAATAGTGCTATTCTTGCCTTTGCTGGAAGCAGAAATCTTGCAATCCTTACAGTACTCCAATCTTGTCCAGAAATTACAGTTTTGAAGTAGACAAAGATAATAAAATACCCACATCCATTCACGTCTCTTTCCTACACAGTGATTTTACTTATTTTACTTCAAGAAACAGCAAGAATCAGATGGAAAATACAAAAGTAGGGCACTGTAAACAGCCTCAACTCATATTCCCTGTTTTTCTCTACTGAAATGTATGAAACAGCTTTATTTCTTAATGTGGTGCATCTTTCTCATTAATAAAGGATGGAAATGCGTATCTGCATTATTTAACATATTCTATATTTCTAACTTCATGTCCTTCAAAAGACTCTTCTGTTTCTGACCCCTCTGGATCAGCATTCAGGTAACTTGGTCAGAAGAGTGCTTAGCAGCAGAGGCTGCAGTGCCTGTGAAGCGCAGCTTTACAGGATAAATTCAGTTTTGTCTGACTTGTCCTTAGAAACCTTCAGTGATGGATGGTGCAGCATGCCCAGGCAGCCTCCATCCCTCTTCACACATCCTCGTAACAAGTTTTTCCTAATCTTGCTTTTGAGATTTCCCACAGACACTGACGGTTGCTCCTCTGTGGATGCAAGGAATGCCTAAGCACTGCCCTTGCAGCATCCTCACCAACACCTGCCCTCTAATTTGTCACAAGAAAATGTGACAAATGTTTTGTGTTGCTCATGATTTCTCTTCAGGGCTGTAGCACCATCGTAGCTTTTTCACTGATGTAACATGGCACAAGATGAAAATTAGGCCTTTCATTTTACATGGCACAAGATGAAAATGAGGCCTTTAATTTTACATCATCACAAAATCTCTCAGGAGGACACCTTTCATACCAGGCCCTGGAAACACTGAGGTTACGCTGAGGTTAACCTTTCATACCTCGCAGTGGTTGGCTTTTTGCAGGGCCTGCACAAATTCTTTTTCCACTATCACTGGTAAAAAAATTGCTGCCCTCCCTTAACACGACATTTTCTGCCATGAGAATATCAAGACTGTGCCTTGCCTTGCTGCCAGCTGGCTGCTCCCAGGCCTTGCTGTGCTGTGGCTGAGTGGCTGTGCTCCCAGGGGCTGTCCCAGCCTCCTCAGCCAGAGGCTGCACAAAGCCTGGCAGGAGCTCAGCTGGATGCACAGACACTCCTTTCCCCAAAGCAAGATAAAGCAAAGGTGCTGATCAGGGGTGTCCTACCTGCACTGGGGAGACACTGGCCCTGGTTCTCCCAGGCTCAGGACTCTTCCTATTTCTTTTCCTTTCACCACATGATAATGTCTTTTGTTTTTGCAATATAATTTGTTTGTTGTGGTGGTTTTTTATTCATTACCATCTTGAAGAAGTCTGGCCACTCATACAAATCCTCATTTTTCTGCAGATACAGAATTTACCTTAATAGCCTCATTAAGGTGTCCGTTCTTGACTTAAAGCCTCTATACAAATCACATTAAAAGTACATGCTGAAAATTTCCTAAGTCTGCAGGACTTACAGTCAAGATAAGCAAGCACAGTAGCACAATTTATGGATTTCCAATCAAAATGCATGCAAACAACTCAAAGCACATTGGCCTTCCCTCTGCAAAGGTACACTTGTAATAATGGTTTAGACATAGAGAGTTAAAGTTAGTAGGGAGAGGTCCTCATTTTTCCATGCAATGCATTCATAAATAACATTAAAATTATTTTACTTTAAAAATAACCGAATCCAGTTTGCTCCTGCTATTTTAAAAACCTTTTTATTCCTCCTCTTCTCTCTGAAATTATGACCAGTTATTTACAGACCAACTTCTGCTTCTAGACAAACTCTTTTGTCTAGGAATATTAATTAGAGATCAACAATTTCCACTGATGTCATTACCACAACAAATCTCAAGGAAGAGCCTAGAAATGTGTTTCTTCTTTTCCAGAGGCACATACAGCTTTCAGAATGCTTTCTCACATTGAGTTCATATTGATTCAGACATCTTTCATTCCTCTGTATTATTTCTAAATCACAGAAATGACATCAAAGAAACGGAAAGCGTCTGACTTTTATCACCAAAATAAATTCTGATTTAATGCACCCTTTCCAATACTTAGGCACAATAGGATACATGATTAGAGCATAGTGGAGCTAACAGAATACCCATCGTGCCTTGTTAACTGAGGATGCATGGTATAGATCCAGGTAAAATTTGAACTTTGTAGCTTTTGTGGGTTTAATTTAGACCCTTGGGGCTACAAATGCATTGAAGGCTGGACACATAATATCCATTATTGTTAAAAGTAGTTGCACACAAAATCAATGATGTTTAACAGAGAAAATGAACTTTATCTGATTTCATTTCTGATTTAAAAAACTTCAATAATCCGAGCCCACAGTTTAAATAAAATGTCCTGAAAATGACAGACACTTCATTTTTGCTTTAAAGGCATGATTCTGAAACAAGCAGAGCTGTCTGACAATGATCAAAAAAGCCCAAAACACCATCACTTAAGCACATGGGAATGTGACTGCAACCAGTAGGGCTGCTTATACCCACTGGGATAAGTATGTGCTCAAATGCTTTCATGGACTGGGACCAGAAACCAGTAGAATCAACCCTGAAGACCTAATTTTGAGCACAGACACGTGTACAGCTTTTAGGTGGGTTTTGTAAGAGAGAGTGTTATTAAATTTGTTTGACAGATCCCTATTTAAGATGCAGATTTACACACCAGATGCCTGCCTGAAGCGGAGTATTTCAGGGGAAAAAAAAATCAAAATGGTTAGATCATTTCTGAGAAAAAAGATAATTTGATCTGACATAACCTAATTTCTGAGGGTTTTAATTTGCAAACTTAAGCTGTACCCCCTCACACTTCTCCATAAGTAAAATAGAATGGGAGATACCTCAGCGTCCTATTTGTGCTATGGGTTTATCATATGTGTGTTCATACCATAGTTTGAAAACATCCACTATGTTAAAATGTATAAGCATTTTAGTGATGAAATTAAACTCTAGGAGTAAAAATATTTTTTTAGATTTATATATACAAATTTGATCTCCAGAATAATATGCATTATATATTCACTGTTCCCTGTTAAGGATGAGACTTAACCACCTCCTTTCTATAACATCCATTCATTAAGCCTAAAAATGCCTGGAGTTGCCTGATGCAAATAATACAAACAAACCTATGAAATGTGCTTTTTAATTAAAAGCCCACTTTATGATCTGTTGATGTGAAACAAGCAGCAGCCAGACTGTTAAATCTGACAATACTGAACTGGCACTTTGTCTGTGGCATGGATTTCCCACTTATCTGCATGCTTTAAGTGCTGCACTGGACAGAAAGGAAATGAGAGTCAGTCTTCCGACCCAAACCCGCAGGGACCCGGGCGAACCCCCGGCATATCAGGGGGCTCACTCTGATGAGATGTTACAGCAGAATAATGAAGAACTGGACCCCATTTGCATTCAACAGAAATAGACACCAGCTCCGTGGCAATTATTTCACACGAGACAATGTTCTGGTATCCTAAAAAAGCTCTGCAAAACCCAGCAAATGCTGAGAAAGGCGAGCTGTATGCAGGTCAGCCTCCTGCAAGGGTCTGCCCAATTTGGCTAACTATCAATGGAAGAACTCCTTTTTTTTTGCCGCTGGATCCGCTCAAAACGGGTTTGTTACAGACAGGGCTTGTTTCAATGAGCTTGGGCTGCAGCATGAACTTCAGCAGGACTCCTTGAAAGGCAGGGGGTGATTTTTTGGCCGTGGCAGTGGTGCTTTTGACTCAAGGTGGAGGAGGAGCAGACCCTCTGTCAATGTTAGTGCCAGGCTCTGCTGGTAGCTGCACACACACTCAACACACAGGCAACAGGAAATGCTTCACCTTGCCATGCATGAGAAGGCGTATGGTAAGAGTGACATTGAGACCTCCTTCGGACACTTTTCCGTCCTTCGTGTTCATCCTGGCCTTGTATCTTCAATACTTGAAAGTAGCTTCGTTTTTTTTTATTTTTTTCTTCTATTCACTTAATCAACCTAAAGGGAGAGAGAAAGAAAAAAAAGAAAAAGTACCATTGAGTGGCTGAAACTACTCTGAACTGAGAATATCATGTTGTACAAACCAATTAACATTCCTTCCTTTGATTTTCTGGACTACAGCTTAGTGCTGAAAAGGCTCCTTTGATTATTATCCCTCCCCATCCAACTCTTTAGCCCTTCACCAATTACAAGATAAACTCCCTTTTGAAACCTTTAAAATTTTCTTAACTTCCTGTATTTCAAAGTTGAAAGTACAGAGCACAGCAGAGTGAAGTACAACATTTTCTTCTGAAGAGCACTTTGTTAACCTCTGCAGTGTGTATATGCTACATACATATATCTATACATGCATTTTTTTACACATGCCTGCTGCTGTTTTTATTTCTCTCCTTGTTACTACATCTTTCTCTTTTTGCTCTTGCAGAAGAGATATTTTTGTTTTCTCTCCAGCTAGAGAGAAATTAATTCTGAGCCTAAACACTGATCCCTGCCAGCAACAGCGGATGACACATTATCAAAGACATCTGAATAACTAAGAGCCACTTGCTGTTGTAAATCTGGGCACTGTCTGACTTTGTTTTTGTCTATGAGGCCCAGAGGTGGCTCAGTCCCTCAAAGGCCAAAGCTGAGCCTCAGTCCTAAGTGGAAGGAAGATTTTTCTTAATTCCTAATGACAAATTGCAGATTTCCAGTCATTTACAAAGCCATAAATATCCTAAAATGCTAATGAAAGCTGCAAGGGCTGGCTTTGAAGGGATAAACAAGCTGCATTATGAGTTTGTTAATGCAAGGACATTTATCAGCACATACAAAAATGTGAGCAGGAAGGAATATTACCAAGGGCAGACACATTCTGTAGTAGAACAGGCTTAGTGACTCCTTATTTAGTTTTGTCCTTTTCAGGCTTATCTTAGAGAGCATAAAATCCTTAGACATTATGCCTCTCAGTAACCATCCTTTTTTTGTTACCCATCCTCTGTAACAACCCTATTAGCTTTGCATTTTCAGGCTTTCCAAATATTTACCTTGCACTATATATAAATAGGGCACTGACTAATGAGCACTCCCATTTTGAGTTTCAGAGTGGCAGGCTGCTCTCCCCTCACCAAGATTGCTCAGGCATGGGACTAGACAATTGGAAGGGCCTATGGGATCATTCTCCTAAAAACTCTGGAGGAAGTACCGCGAGGCTGTTTCACCATTTGATTAAGCTCTGTCCTAAGAGGCACTAAGCACTTTACTAGACCAAAGTGAAGCCCACATTGGCTGAACATGTTATGTGTGAGAGACATCAACAGCAGTTCTTAAAGGAAGAGCCCAAGAAAAGCGTGGAGAGATTGCTGATGGACTTGCTGAGCTGCCAGCAATCAGCGATTCATGGCACCCTGGGAGTTTGCCTCCAGACCTGCATTTCCCATAGTAGCCATTGGTTGACAGCTTCAGGAATTTGTTTAGCGCCTTCTTGAATCCATATATCTGGTCTACAAAAGTGGTGGTCTCACACATTTAATATTAGTGTGGAAAAACATTCTCCACTCTACATGGCTTAAATTTGCTCACTGATATTTCCCCTTGTTACACATTTTGCCCTTTGTGTGTTATCTGAAGACTGCCACATCAAGTCACTTCTCTGAAGCTGAAACTTCTCATTTCAGCCAGGGCCTGTGAGTGACCAAGCCACTCCTTTTTTTTTGCCCCTGGGAAATACACTGGAAGAGTTTTCTCTCAAGCCTCTACAGGAATAGTAGGGCCACAGAGAGCTCCTGTGCCTTCAGTGACGGCAAGAGTAAGTGGCAGACATGCCTAAGGAGAGATAAAAAGAAAGAGTGAGAAAGAGCAGCTTAAACTCCTCATTCCACCTTCCTGATTTCCCCTAACCCAGCACGGACTAAGAGTATTTAGTACCATGTCCTCCACCACCCAGACCACAGCTGCTGATATAAATCCATTTATTTCACATTTCTAGGCTTTTCCCTTACACTATATATTCCCTATCACACTGGGGAAAGGGAAACAAGAAGCCAGGTGCCTGGGTAAGAAGGCAGAAAACAGAAGCAGCCTGGCCATGTCTCTGATGCACCATGAGTGCAAGAAGGTGACAGGAAAACGTTCCAAGGCAGATCTCAGGGAATGGCAGAGAAGGGCATCAGCTGTACTCCACTTGTTTAACATTAGACCAGGACTCAGGGGAAAACCTGCAACTGGATGACCATGACAGCCCCTTCTGAGAAGTTCAGAGTGTGGAGCAGAGGAGATGACTGCGGTGGTTCCCAGGCTGAGACAGGGAATGGTCTCATGCTGCTCTGCACCTGCTCCTTACTGAGGCAAATGTCCTGGCTCTGACAGCCCAGCATTTTCTGATCTGCAAAAGATAACCCAAGCAAACCCAAAGTGCCAAACAGGAGCACTTTGGCACATAAACAGCAGCCTAGACCTTGTCATTCTGGACTGTACGAGAGCAACACTGGCCCTTTGAGACCTCTAGAAACCGATGGCAGCTTTAGGGCATGCTTGGAAGATTTTAAGAACAGTTGTGTTTCAAGTAGAAGCGAGGTATGTAAGACCTCTGTGGATCAAAATTCAGTGATGAAGGTACAGTTGTTTCTAATGAGATGTATTCCCATGTGGGAAAAATAATTCCAGACTAGAAACAGGTTTACAGGTGCCATGGCCTCTTACTACTGGAATGTTGCAGCATCACTTTGGAAAAGAAAAACGGAGGAAAATCTTTACCCCAACAAGAAACCAATCTCCACCCAAGCCTGACCTTTTCCAGATAAAACCTGAAAAAAATCAGTAGTAAAGGCTAACACCTTTTGGGTTCTTTTCAAAAACCCAGAGATTAGAAATGAAATTCCACCACAAATATTGTTAAAAAAGCCACAGCTATTTGATTTTATGAAGGATTTTGTCACTGTCCCTCCTCCCAACAAGCTTAAACTCTGGCACCTGGCACTGAGAATCAGAACAGATGTCTGGGGGAGGGCTGGGAGTGTGGGTGCCTGCAAGGAGTTAGGCAGCTGTGTGAGACACAAAAGGAATTAATTCAGAAAGGCAGTCTCACATGCTAAGGAAGAATATTTAAAAGCTACACATACACCACGAAGAGAGAAGACTTTTTACTATGCCAGGTCAATCACATCTGCCTCAGTTGTCCTGAGAGTGCAAGTATTCTGGGTAAAACATTTACAGCTTTACAAAGTAAACCTACAGCACTGTTAATGACCCAGGTGTTTTGGTTTTAAAGACAGATTAAAATAAAATGTGTTGTTGTACTTCGTTACTTTTAACTTTAAAGGAATTTATTTTTACTTTTAAAGCGATTTTTTTCTGCAGACAATGTTGCAAACATGCTGATCTCTGTGTACATGCAGATGTGAGATCATCACATTCACAAGGAAGAGAATGGCTCCCTCCACAGAGCCTCCTACCAGACAGTGAGACATCCATGTATTTATAAACCTACTCCTGTCATATACAAGTGCATTGTGAATACTTAATTGGTAAAATAATTTCCCTCTCCTTTGCAAAGTCAGCATTTTGAACAATTTACTATGTTCCAGCCTTGTGTGTGCCTCTCTGTGAGTGAACACAGGCAGCTTTCCTTTCTCAAGCTCTTGTGCAGTGAGGTCCCATGGCTACCCTGGGGGCTGGGAGACCTGAGTCTCAGACTGAAAAAAAAAATAAATCAGTGTTCACAGTTTTCCTGACACCAGAAGAAAGTCAGAGGACTCCACAGGTGAGCAGAGTGTGGCACAGCTAAATGTTAAGAGTGAGGGTATTTGCATTTTAGCCTGCCTTCAGCAGAGTGCTGGCAGTGACAGGAGGACAGCTGGACAGGATCCTGTTCCTGACCTTGGGACTCTGGACCAGAATGCACAAAGCCCAAGATCTGGGGCTCTGCAGCTCCAGGTAACAAGTGAAAAATATCATGCCCACAGAACAAAGGAAAGTAGCTCACATCAGGTAGTTCCCAGCAAACTGCAGATCTTTACTTCCTTTGGGGCTTTTCCATTGTCCTGTGGACATTTCCACTGCTGTTTATCACATAAAAAGCGAACATTTTTCTTCAGGTAGAAAAATACATCCAAATGCATTTTAAAAACCACAACCTTTTAAAAACTCCAACAAAATGGATGTGGAGTCATATGCAAATGCTTTTTATCTGTAAGCATATGCTTCTATACATTTTTAATATTAGCTATCTCAAGCTGGCATGTACCCACAGGTCCTACATGCTCAATACTTATTAAACACAATTTTTTAACATGGCTTTTCTGTAATTGTGGGTAGATTAGGCGAATAAAACAACAAGCAGTTCAGCCGCACGTTCATTGGACTGCTACAAAACCCCAACACAGTTCTTGGGGGTTCCAGTGAATTAATAAAAGCTACAAGATGAACTATAAGCTGAAGGGCAGTGTCACAACCCCCACACACGCACACACATGGAGGTCAGGAATCCTTGTGGCTGAGGGGATAGTGTGAGATGGCTGCCTGAAGCCTGAGACATGGAAAGCCAACCTCCTGACCCCCTTTCTTCCTACCCCTCAAGCCTGCTAATTCCCTCCAAGAAAACAAGCAGGCCATTGCAGAGAATATGGCTGCACAGTGCTTTATAAAATATATCCATGTTAAGGCAACCACTTCAGGTATGCAGGGTGAAAGCAGCAGGCAGGGATGCCAAAGATGAATAAAATAAACATACTACCAAGGTAGACATCAGGCAATTGATCTCTGAGTTTAAAGCCCAAATAAATTATTTGACTTGTGTGAATCTGCCAAGAGAGCTACTCATCTCAGAGATCCAGAGGGATGCAAGGGAGAAGCGAGAGAAAGAGAGTGTGCACAGGGTGAGGTGGTGTGGAGCTGCATAGTCACAGAGGCGTACTGAAAGCAAAGAGATGCAGAGAGAAGGGAAGGAGAAAGGGAGAAATTTAGCTTCAGATAGATGATACAGGGAACAGTGTGAGAAAAATCAATGTGGAAGCAAGAAC